CACACACACACACACACACACACACACACACTATTTATACATATGATTCAGTCCCAGTGCTAACAGGTGCTGAGAGAAATAGTTCATACATGTAGCAAAAATAAAGAAAAAAAGGGGTAGAGGAGAAAATGTTGTTAAAAAAATGCCACCATTTGATCTTGGTTTTTGAGTTTGTTTTTGTTTTTGTTTTTCTGCTACAACTTAAATGTTCCCTTAAACCACTTTGTATCAAGCTGAGAAAAATCAAGAGATGCAAAAAAAAGTCTATTATGAAGTTGTAATTAATCATTAGGAACAAATGTACTGTTTTTATATTAGATGGCATTTGAGAAACAGCGGTAGTTTTGAGGCAAAACAAGGTTTGTTTTTTGAGCTTTGACAAATTATTCTGATGAAAACAAAACAACAAATACTGTAAACAATATTCACTTTTTTTCATTTTCAGGGGTAAATTTTACTATTTCAAAAACAAGGCAGTTGGTTGATTTTCACATCTTTGACCTTAGTGGAACCACCATACATGGAATCATTCAGATCTTCAAACACTAATCCTCACTTTAAACAAACACGCCAAGACTTCCAGCAGACAGGATGTAGAACCAGTTGTTTATAACTTTCCTCCATATGACATATGCATGCAATATCTTTGCTCTTCAAAATCTTATAGTAAAACCCAGAAAAGCCATGGGAAATCTTCACGCCAGCGGTGTTCAACAGCTGATCTCTCCACACATGCACAAGCATTTACTGTATCCATTTTAACAAACATGCATATCCACAACACACTCCTCTTTTAAAAAGCTACATACGTTTCAATGGCAACAAAGCGAATCGGCAACCTCCTCCGAGTCTTTCCAGTGAGGCACAGGAAAGTCGGCTGGAGGGAGATAGAATATCCTACTGAGCATGGATCAAGGTAATTGCCTCTGTGTCTGTGTACGGGATAGGGAGAAAGGCAAAAGAAAAATAACGTGTGTGTATGTGTGTTTGTGGGTGTTGCCAGCATCACCTCCAGGCTGAACTGATGAGCTCATTATTTTTGCTCCCAGAACCCCCTCCAGCGTCTGCAAACAGCAACTCGCAGCAGAGCTCCCTGTGAGGGAGTGTGGAAAAAGTGTGTCTGTATGTGTGTGTTTGCAGGCTTATGTGGCCTTTTTCCTTTGAGTTGTGAACTATTTGTAAAAGCGAAAGGGATAACGAGAGATTGGGAATGGACTGAGAGAGGGGATGAAAATAAGTAAGCATAAAAAATGCCCATGATGAGTGAGGACTGTGTGTGTCATCTGCTGTCAAAATATTACGTTTGCTGCGTGCATGCTTGATGAAGAAATTACATTTTCACAGGAATGAATCAACACCCAATATCACCGTCACCTATGCCTGAACCTTTATCCAGATTATAATGAATGATGGAATTTGATCACACTTAAGATAGTGAATCATTAGTATGATGTTGTGTTGGAAGATTAAAATATAAATGTTGATTAATTACTTGTGTGGGCCCAAGGCGGTGCGTGGAAAAAAATAACAGTTTTTTCTCTTTCCTGCTTAAACAAATCAGACAAAGAAACTGAGAAACACAGATAATCCACTTCCTGTTAAACAAAAAAAGAAGGAAAAGAAAAGAAAATATTTGTCAATATCAACAGATAACTGAAAAACAAACAGTAGAAGATTATGTTGATATTTCTGTGTTTATGAACTCACAGCAGAGGGTAGAAAACATGATAGTTAGCTGGTGCTTTTAATTATGATCCTGGAAACCTCTTAGATGTATTTAGAAGATGTAGAAGGTAGAATGCTCTCTCTGGGTCAGGGGTGAGTCTTTGCCCCAAGCAGAGGAGTTCAAGCGTGTATGATGGAAGTTTGCAGCAGGAGACTGATTAACATATTGGGTCTTGTCCTGAGTGATGAGGCCGATGTTATCGTGAATAAGGAACTGAGCAAAAAGGCAAAGATCTCAGTTTATTGGTTTATTTGTTCCAAACACTCCTATGGTCATAAGGTATGGATCATAAACAAAAGAAAAAGATCCTAAGTATAAGCAGCCAAATTGCACTCAGTCTTATTTAGATAGCCCAAGGTGCTCTCTTTTGGTGGGAACTTAGAGAAGAACTGTTACTCCTCCACATCCAAAAGGACCACTTGGACCTGTTGCCTCCATGACCTGACCAGTGATGATTGGAAGCCAATGGATGGGTGGATTTATTTAATATATTGTATACATGTAACGGAAGGTCAAAAAGAAAATACTGGATAAGCACTCAGAGAGCACAAACCTCTGCCAAGAACCTAGGGTCACTCACGCAGTAACATACTGTATGCTCATTGCAGAATTCTTAAATTTCAAAAAATCCAAACACGTAAGTTATTGTGGTAACCAAACAAACAGTTGTTTACGAGTTTTTAAGATGTTGGCTCAAAATGGTGAGTCAGATCACCACCAAAATGTGTTCTTTGTGAAAACCTCAACATTTTCTTAAAATTTCCTGAAAATCCATTCAAAACATTAATTTTAAGTATTTTTGTGCATAGACAGACAGACCAGTGCTACTGAAAATACAAACTCCTTGACAAAGATAATTAGGAGTAACAAAAATAAGTTATTTTAGTGACATCCAGTGACAAACATGCAGAATACAGCAAAGCCTTTTATAATATTTTTTCTGCACTCAGAATGAAAGAAATGTTTGATTTGTACCAATTAAAAAACACAAGCACACAATGCAACTGGACTGAGAATTTGTTTTGAGGTGGAACTGAGATGCAGCTTTTTTTACATATCTGCACAAACTATAATTGAATTATTAAATGCAGTCTCCCAGTAGGTCCATTTCAGCTTCATCATAAAGCAGTTATGTTTAAAATGTGTAATAATATTTGTGTGAGAAAAATGCACATCTGTTTTGCCTCTTCTTCTGGTTGCAATTGTATTATAAAGCTGTATTGTGTTTTTTAATATTGTTCTGTTTTTTAGTAGGAAAACTGCAGTCATACCATATAAGCAGCATCAACACTAAGAGTGTGTTGTCACTTCCTGCTGACCAGTTACAACACAGTGAAGTTTGATTCCCCGTGATCATGTGAATCAACTACTATCTCAGTACGAAGACCATAAAGTAGAGCATGTGATTCAACCACAGTGTGGACTGACACTATTCAGATTTGACACAAGCTCTGACACTGTTTTCTGTTGAACACTAGTTTTTTTGTGTATTCTTAAATTATCCCTATAGCTAAACCATTTTACTGGCATGACTGTTGGTACAGCTAGTCTCGGGTTTGTTTACATGTAAAATTGTAATTTTTTCTCATTTTTAAGGGGTTTTGAAAGAACTTTTCACGAAAGGTTAACTTGTGCTTTATTGTTCATAACGTGTAAAATGTATTTTGGTGTTTACTGCTGAGTTTAGCTTATCTGCAGACTGACCTTTCTTTTCACTGTGCTCATGTTGTTCAGTAGCTGTTAGTCAAGTTTTATGAAAGTGTATTTGGTTCATGTCTGTTTGGTTCTGCTCAGGTCTGTGTGTGTCTCCATGTCAGAGTGTCCCTCACTCTGTGGGTGTGATTGTGGGTAGATCAACAGCATGATGAACAAAATAAGGATAATGGCAATTTCAGTTTTGAGCTCAGATAAAGTTCAGGTTAAAATCTAGTTTTCAGTGTTTTACCTTCATATAATACTGATTTAATGTCATTGTATTAATCCCGAGAATTTAGTAAAATGCTCTTCAAATTGCTGGTAAATGCCTAGTTTTGAGCAGATCTTTTACAAAATGTTCTTGGGGAGTATATCCCTGGACCCCCCAAGAACTGCTTCACTCCTCAGCTGCTCATTAACATGAACAGCTGTTCCTCATTGTTGTCAGCAGAAGTTGTCAGGTATGAGATAGACTTCTCAATTCAATTCAAATAAATCCATCCATTATCTATACCCGCTTATTCCTTTCAGGGTCGCATGGGTCACTGGTGCCCATATCCAGCAGTCACAGTGCGAGGGGCAGGGTACACCCTGGACAGGTCACAAGTCCATCACAGGGACACACATAGAGACAAATGAGACAGACAACCATTCACTCTCTCACTCACACCTAGAGTCAATTTGGAGTTATCAATTAACCTAAAAGTCATGTTTTTGGTCTGTGGGAGGAAGCCGGAGTACCTGGAGAGAACCCACACATGCACAGAGAGAATGTGCAAACTCTACCCAGAAAGGTCCCCGGGCCGGGATTTGAACCGGTGACCTTCTTGCTGATAGGGATTGGCTCTATCAACTGAGCCACTGTGCCGCCCACAATTCAATTCAATTCAA